AACTGGTTCAAGTAGCAATATGTATGACTTGAAAGATTTCAGAGTCAACCTATACTAAATTTTGTACTGATCAAATTGTTTCTAAAACTACATTTGTTATAATATTGAGCACTATAATTCTCAGAAAATGATAGCGCATTTGAAAGATACCCTATAGTTATATGTAAGGAATTGCGTGGCGTGAGAGAGAGTACAGTACACTCCAAACAAATAAATGAGTAGATGTTGTACAGATTTATACTCATATGCAAACCACGTAATCTTATATTAATTCATATTCCACTATCCTAAATAATTCCATATCTTTTTCAACAAATTGTATTAAAAACTGTCTAAAATAGCACTGTAACCAACAGATTTGAACAAATATACTTCCGGGAAAAGTGTGTCTAAGCACTACCAGTCCACGCACAACTATTCATTCTAACATTTAATTATATTTATGGTACTTAAAAATATTATTATTTCTTGTACAAAATATTATTAGAATTTCTATTTGAACCTGATAGTCAAGGTCAGTTACAGATCATAGTTTTACTTAAATTATTCAACATGTCGGTGTTGTCATAAGTGTTGTTTTGTTCCAGTTCTACGACTGCAATATGACTGTAATAAAACTTGCTTAAGACGGCCAATATTATCGTAACTACTGTTTCTACAATAAAATATCAACAATCAAATATCAACAAGGAAAGGCGACGTTCATAGAATGTAGCCCCCCCCCCCCCCGAAAAAAAAAACTTAGCCACAACACTTGTAGGAAATCCAGAAGGATACCGAACAAAATAGGAAAGAACACAAGGGCTGAAAAAGGAGGGAGTACATGCCAATAACTGTAACAAATATCAATTTATTAATAATAAGAATGATACGTAATATAATACCATAAAGGCTGATACGAAAATTTAATGGACAAGGGGAAGTGTTGGAGGGGACAAAATTATTGAGGGGCAATGTTATGTAATAATTACCGCTGATGAAAATTATTACAGAACGTGTCACAATAGTAATCATGTTTTAATACACAAGACATACATGCGAAGGACACAAAGGGTACCGCCTTTGAACGATCGGTGGTAAAACAACACTTGGGATAAATACCGGTTTTAGGCTCGACAATCCACACTTTAGGCCCCATTAGATTCCTTTTAAATGTGAAATTGTTAATAAAATAAAATCCAATACCAGTGAGCGTATCATTCTATACACATATGTCAAATCTGTTTCAGACAGTGAAAGCTTACTAATTAAAAATATTCATTAATACATGCACATCCAAGTATGCATTTATTTTATTTTGCAAACCAAAATTATTGTATATTTTTGATATAACCTACTTCTTTTACATATTAAAACTTTAAGATATACGTTATCTTTGAATTAAGAAACAAATACTATATGCTTCGAAAATTGCTGTCTTTTCAGCTGGCATTACATGTACATCCCCTCCTTTTGTAGAATGAAATGAAATAACGCAAACTTTGACTGATGCATTATATCAATAAAAATGAAATTGACAGTATGCTGAGAAGGTGCCATTCTTGTAAGACCATACTGTACCTCCTGTTGTAGAACTTTTATAAGACAAAATAAATTTATAAGCTCTAACATCATCGCAAACTAACTTCTCTATGTTCATTGACAATGTGAGATACGTGTTAGTAGGTGTTGTAGAATCCCATGATCCTCTAGCAACAAAATCTTTACGACCTGTTTCATCTTCAATATCTTGACTTAAAAAAGTAATTGCACCTTTTTCAAAATCCATTTTTGCTACTGTTTTCCAATATGATCCAAAACGTGGAGTTGATCTAAGAAGCGTTGATATCATTATGCGATGAATAGTACCAACATTTGTTTCAGTGATATTACAACTCATAGTTAATGTGCCTGTGCTACCTAGAAAAACTTTCTCCCTGCTAAAAGTAATATCCACACCAGAAACTGCAAATATAACAGCGGAAATAAAAATTGAATTTTTGAGTAACATTCCAAATCCTACACCAAACATTGTGCGACGTAACCACGTTTCAAGTTCTGGCATCTTAAATGTTTATGTGTTTTAAAAAGTACATTTGATTTAATTAATTAATAAATAACATGGTTTTATGAATAACATGTTTATCGAGAATGAACAATATTATTTTAAAATGGATATGAAAAGATAGTTTAAAACATAGGTATCTTTAGAAAAAAAAACCCAGTTTGACCTTTGAAATGACCCATTTGTACAACAGCAAATAATTAGGGTAAAATCAGTATAAAATGTTAATTGTAATTTGATTGCAGAATAACTTACCTTTACAGAAGGTTAATGCGATAAAGAAAACAAAACATTTTAAAATTCCCGACATTTTTTCCCAAGCGATTTTATAGTCTAATCTCTTTACTTTTATGAATTTCAATCTTATTTCTGAGCACATCTCAAAGACTATGCACATAATATGAGGCACATTATCATGTGAATATTGTTTTAATTAAAATTAAAGACTTAAATAATAAGAGGCACGGAGACACTTTTGTGTGTCGCGATCTGACAATTATAGTTTATTTAAAATTGTGTTATGATAGACATCAAATACATACATCGGTTGGATCTAATTGATGATAAGTCATATTCATATTATAGATATATTATGATACGGAACAACTAGGAAGGAGAGAGATAAAGATAACACCGTATTAATTAAGGCAGGTACGTGAGTTGTATTGTTAAATATTTTGAAAATTATTCAAAGTGTTTGAGAATGGTCTAAACCCACTATACAATTATATAACAGCTATATGCCAAGAGCTTCCATTAGATACGAACAACTGTAATCGGTACATCCAAAGAGAAATAATAATATCTGTCGAGTGTTAATTCTGTTAAATATAAATAAACCTTAGCGAAATAACTATCACGAGCAGGATGGAATGATCGCTATTTTGTGACGTTAAATCCTACTTATTGCAAATTATTGAATAGCATTTCTTTATTGCCATTTTTGGCGCCAAAACAAAAGGCAAGTCATAAATCTTCGGACTTGGCAGACTAATCTCCGCTCATACATAGCCGACTGATTTTAGTCGGTAGGGGGTAACCGACTTTATGATTTATACGGTTTGTACCGCGGAATAGACACTAGTTGCTCTGAGTATTTTTCTAATCAGCAAGATTCTTATATTATAGTATTATGTTTGATCAGTTTATTCAGTTAATTGATGTGTAACTTCCATGATAAAGTAGTCATTGAAGCATTAAATTTACGTTTGTGAAATTTGAACATTGCTTACATAATGATGATTTGATTATAAAACTATGAAAATTACATGTTTTAGAAAGTCATTCTATAATTGAGCGTTAAAGAACAACTTCAATTATTACAATAAGTTATGTCATTTTCATTTGTACAGATAAAATTGCTCTGTTTAAATAGACTGACAAAGGATTTTTTCTCAAGAAACCAAACTAATTAATCCACTGTTTAACCATAATGATTAGCATTACACTAAATGACTTGCAATGTATCATTACATAACATTTGAAGGAATTTCTTACGGTTATTTTCAGTCCTTAAACGCTGAATAACTTGGTTACATTGATGAAATACTGTAGCAATCATACTTCGATGTTTTGAATATATTTGTGTTCAGTTGGGAATCATTGTTTACAGTAACTGAACTATAAACGGAACAGAATGCAAAAAGGTTGTTTCTCATACGCTAGAACCGAAATGTTCGAAAATTTCATTATACATTATACGAGATAGTAATACTTGAATATGAAATCATTAGAAATAGCCAAAGTTAACTATGCTGATATAGGAAAAGTGTACAAGTACACTCGAATTCACGGTTGTAACGTGTATATACTTTCAAAATAGCACCACCTTTATTTATTGACACACATAAATACAACCTCTATGATTTAATATGTCGATACATAGCTTTAATATGTGAAAGAGACGAACACTCATCTATAAACATCATTCTTGTTTATTTATTCGCCATATTATATGAATTGACAAATATACATTCTGTACACTAGCCAGTTATTATTTTAGTGTCTAAACGTGATTATTATAAGTCATAGCTACATAGTTCTTTACATAATAGTCTCTGAAGTAATATAGTCGAACTTAATAAAAATTTTGTAATCGCCAGTTTGATATGAAATGATCTTCTAGCACATAATAATATATTTTTAAATTGGCAAAACTTTCAAAAAATATCACACTTACTATGCTTTTTGCTCTAAAAGCTAAAATTTTAGCCATTTCAATCAAATTCGAAATGTGTAGGAGGAACATTCATGTCTATATCTACTAACCAATGTAAAAAGATAATTTACTTTCGTTTCATGATACAAGATATTATATTAAGTAATCTCAAAAATATACAAACATGCAGTTTTCTTCCTTGAAGCCAACTTGATCGGAAGTTGCAAAAGGCTTATTTCTGATGTTCGAAGCTAACACAAATATTTACAATAAAACAAGATGCAAACGACTGAATATGCAAATAGTTCACGTTCCCTTATCCCGAATGCGCTGATAATAACATGCTCGCATTAATGAACAATTTGAACATTGCACTAATATACATGTACCAGTATGAACCAAAAGTGACATCTCGTGATACAATCTGTTAGGTTTTATACACAAGATTTATATGGATTCCCAGAATCTTGAAATAATTCATTTAAAACTCAAAGCTTGCTATTTCTAGTGAATTAGCATAATCATGAAACTCTCATTAGTTTATTTTTATACTTGTGTTTTGGAGTGACCACTTAAAAAAATCAGTTTAGCAAAATGAATAAAAATCGTGTCAGGTGCACGTCATTTAATTAATGTTCTGTTATGACATGTTTTTTTTTTTCATATGTGAGCAATTTGTCATCTCTCCCCAATCCAGGATAAAAGAAGAACATAGCGCCAACAACCGTTTCAGGTAATGCTTTTTAATACGTTAGATTAGAGGTCTCACAATACAATAATTTTTTATCGATCTAGTGTCTAAGATCTGTTATAAGTGTGAGATGCCTCTGCATTATGCTCCAGACTCTCATACTGAGGTTGTCTAAAAGTAAAAAAGATGCATGAACAGATAAAAACGTCTTATAAATGCTATTAAGAGTAAAGTGTCGTTAAGGAGTTCAAAATACAATAATAAATGTGTCTGTGTTGTATGTTCTTTATTGTTCACATACATTTGCAAACAATATATTCTCATATATCCATCTCAAACAGTCATATACTGAAGTGATTTTAAAAGGTCAGAGTACTATAAAGCGAAATGTTAATATATTAAAAGGTTAAGATAACAAAAAATTCATGAAATCATGAGTTTAGTTTATTACCTGTCTAGTACTGTGCTGGAGTTTGCTGAAGCTGAAACATAATACAAAATGATATAACTAATGCGTAACAAGGGGAAATGCAAAGTAAATTTGTATAATTAAATATACATACACGAGTAAATATGCACTAACTGCTGGAATATATCAAAATTGTTTTATTCCATTTAGAAATGATGCATGAATTTAATGATATTGCTAAATGATCTTCAAAAAACAAATTACAATGATCAAGTTTAAAAACCGGAATACAAGCGAATTCCAATTTACCATAAAAAATATACAGATATGATAACAATGTTAGGTACATTATGCAAACATTTTCCAACATCAACAGTTTGCCAATCATCATTAAAGTAGTTTATCCTTTGAACTATATAGCCAATTCTGCTCAAGTTGACAATGAAAATATAAGCATGATGTCACTTCAAATAAAAAAATACGATTTAATCAATTACACATTGAACATAACACGTTGGAATACATCTATCAAGTCAAAATATAAGTGTTTGTGATACTATTAGCACGCTTGTCATTTATCAAAACAAGTTTAATTTTAAAGTTTATGGGAGGATGAAGACGTAGACTTAAGCCCCCAGCAAATATACAAGTTTTAATTGTTGATTAAGTGATAAAAATGAATGCTGGAAAACTTAACACACTTAATATACTTAAAATGAAACAGTTTCTCGATTATTATTTTTACTGAGTAAGTGAAAATAAAATGCGAGATAAAACAGCCAAATATGAAACCCAGCCACATAAACTAGAAAATCATATAGATTAAGGTCAAAACCCATATGACAAGATATCAATAATAGACCAGTAAAATTACCGACTTATGCAAAATTTATGTGACTTGATATAGATAATTGACCAGTGAAATGCAAAGAACCATGTGACATGCTATCAATAGTGGACCAGTTAAATTAATAGATAAATGTCAAAAATCCATGTGACACGGTATCAATAAAAGACCAGCAAAATATGAAGAATAATGTCAAAACCATGTGACATAAGATTAAAATCGACCACCAAAATAAACAGATTAATGCCAAAAAACATGCGATAAAATAGTTATTATAACGATCAACTAAATAGTTCGCAATAAAAGTTAGAAAAATAATGTAATACTGTCTAGGGAATCATAAGTCATCCTGCTTTCAGTATCTGTTCTAGTTTGAAGTTGCTCGTAGGTATTCCTAGAACAAAACAATATTCAGATAATCAGATTTTGTGATGTTGTCTTGCAAATACAGCTAGGTTTAATATACATCATCTTTCTTCGCACACTAATGAGAATTCTTAATTTGCAATCATGTGTTTATGTGTGAAATAACCTTCATTTATCTGTTTTTACCTTTAATCATATTTAGATGTCAGTGGTTAAAGCCATGAGAAAAACATTTAGGTACTTACGGTAAAGGCGACGAAACATTTAATTCTGTTTGTCGTGACACTGATTTTGGCTGATGTTGATTTTGCTTCTTCAGACCTACTTAAAAAATAGGTAATCAGGTATTTCAAAGTTTAAAAAAAATACTGGACTGTTATACGAGTATCAGAAAACGCATGTTTCGATGTCATAAGTCTATCATTATATCGAATATTTGGTCACAACACGTCTTTTTCTATACATTTTAACGTTGAAAATGAATTCGAAAATAATAGAAATGTCAATTATCTAGTTCATTAAAAGTACCTTTTACTTTCCGTTTTCTATTTAAAACAACCCACGTAAAAACCACACCGATAAGAACACCAGCAATTATTGAGCCAATGACAATCGCGACGATAGCTCCAGCAGCTACACTTATCTCTTTTCCATCTGGAATACAAATAGCACTTAATAAGTCTCAAAAGTGCTTGCTCTTACCTATCTCTATAAAAGGACTGTATCACACACGTGGTACGCAGACAGTCCATGAGGTTGATGTTATTCTCACTGATAAATTACAAATTGATACCTAAAATATATATTATAACTGAACCTAATTAAATATTAATTATCATTTATAAATGGACATATTAAGATATTTCCATCAATGTATGATTGACTTACAAAAGAGACATGTTTCTGTTATTAAACACATAAGCATAATGTACGTAAACAGCACAAAATATTACAGTTCCTCTTTTAAGCAATGAATTTGTACATTAGCTAGAAAGGCAATTTACAAACATATTTCTTTCATACATGTGTTTTTGGATTTTTTTTTTTAGCAGGTAGAGAATAACCTTGTTTTTTTCAAAATTCATATTATCAAATAAACAAGTAATGCAGTTTCCATGATATTTTTTTTTTAATTAAATATATTTTCCCTTTCTTTTTTGATGTTGTTTTTTAGAGTAAAATTGTGATTTGTGTATTAATAACGAAATCTCGTTTTTCATACAAACGTACTTTTGGTTTATACAATATTTATTTTCAATAAATTTCTAACATAATGTATAATACAATGTACACATGAATATCTAAAGACAAATTCAAAATTAAGACAAATCTACCATGTATACAGAAACTTATATTTCTATCAGAATAGTAGATGTTATGTACAAAATCAGAATTGACAATTGTTCTCTATTACAGTTGACTATCCGAAGCACTGATACATTTTTCCTTCATGTTTTGGTATGTGCTCGTTGTTAAATGATTAAGTTGCGTATTTTTGTGAAAAAAAATAGAACCTAATATTTGAATTCACATTGAAATTCTAAAATGATTTTCTGTTGCGACAAAGATTAAAAGTCTGGTGGAATCAAAATAAATTGGATGACACGTAAAAAAGAATGATTGTTATTCTTACTTGAAGGATATGAAATCAAGATATAGGATCGAATTATTAGTGCGAACTGTATCATCTTCGAATAATTTCGAGGACGACGTGTTTTGTTATTTTACAAAAAGCAAAAGTATGTCTGTAATATCAAATAATATTATGAATAAATTGTTAAATATAATCAATTTTTAGTAACGTATTGATGTCTTATTTATGAAAGATTGAACTATTTGATTAAATACAAGATTGCATATTTGTTTACAATTCACTTAACAGGGAATTGAGGTATATAAACACTAAATATAATAAAAAATTCTAAGCAAGTCTTAGAATCCTTCAAAACAACCTATTGCAAATATTAACTTTTCATTCAGTTCATTTATTTTATACCTTATGCTTATTATTTTCATGAGTAAGCATACGCTGTGCCTGCTTTGCAAAACATATATCCTTTGGGCCTATTGCGCCAAAGAAACATGATTCGTTGCGCACTTTAGTCATACCTTTTGCTCCCTGTCCGAATTTGGTATTGGATCCCTTTATAGAAATATAGCCTGGGTCATTGGCACGTAATTTATAAGGTGAATAAAAAAGATAAATATAAAACGAGTATAATGTTCAAACATGGCACTATCACTTCAATTAAACGTTTAATTTAATTCTTAAGTTGTGCATTAGAAAAGCTATTTTTTATTTGAGCATATAAAAACAGTGAGATTTCCTTAAAAGCAAAAAAAAAAAAAAAAAAAAAAAAAAAAACAATAGCAAGACTAAAATATTCCCATTGCTGAACAGACGAATGGATATCTACTATAAGCCACGTGCATGCGGCCTCAAATAGGAGATAAAATATAAAAATGGGGGAATTATACTGGTTACAACACTCACACAATAGATATGAAAGAAATGAACCCGATGTAAAGGTGAAGAGTTACTCACAACCCTTTCCAACTTTACTCACAACCCTCTCCAACTTGTGTAAATCTACCTTAGATCTACCTACTAAAAACATTCAATGAGCTGTTTTATATCCAAACATAATAATAACAACCCAATAAATACCGGTCATAAGCTTGTGATCAATAATGGTCTTAATTTATTATCCTCCATTATTCATTTGCAAAGAGCTACGTTCACTAACCATGGATTTTTGCCCAAGATTTTGGCAAAAAATAATTTGATGAAAAGTTCTTGTTTTTAGGTTTTAATTATAAGTTCAATCCTTAAACTGTTAAAAAAATATGAATTTATAGACATATGTTTACATTTAGTATGATTTATGTTCTATGGAAATACCCCTATTTCCAGCAAAATTAGGAAAATTCACGTATTTTTGGTGTTTTAAACGAAAAATTAAAGTTCAGCACAGTCCAGCCCAAAAAAATCATTACACCATTGTGTTGTAATGTATCAAAGGCTTCAACTATATCAATTAAAAGTTGGGGCTTGCCTGTGCTCTATTCCAAAATAAATTTTTATCTAATATCTAAACGTCATTTTCTGGGCATTAATTCAGTAAATGCAAATCATGGAGCATGTATATTGCACTCAACATTATTAATTTTTATTCTAAGTTGTTGAAATATGATTCATAACATATATTTTTAATAAATGTTTGCAGGAAAATCATTTCTAGTAAATTAAAGGCACTTTCACTAAAATAAGTACGATTATGTTTTGGTACGAGTTCGACGGTTTCCACTGTAACGGTTGTAAACAAAACTCTGGCAGGTTAAAAGAATTATATGTAAACGCTTATAAATAAATGCTGAAATTCTATACTTATGCCTTAAATATTTCATTCTTAGAATTAGCAAGGTGTTGTTATGTAATTTTATTGATTCATTGAAAAAAGTTATGCTGTTCAAGCTATTTTATTGCTGAATACTTGATCTGGGTCCGGTTCTTTCGCCCTCACAAAAAACAACAACAGCAACAAAAACAACTGTGGTCGTTTAAACACAGTGATTAAGAGGTTTTTATGTCTTTTTTTAAAGGTAGATAAGAAGAATTCAATTTACTTTGTGAAAATAAAATTATTGTAAGTCTCAAAACAATTTAAAGATACTGTATTTATAATTCCACATCGTCTGCATTGATGTATATGTAAAACTACTTGTTAAATGATGTCACATCATCTCGAAATGTGGCACTAGCTCAGTGGTAGCATGGGAGCCTCTCACCCAGGAGAATTGAGTTCAAAACCTTGATCATGAACTCTTTTTTTTCTTTTTTTTCGTTTTAATAATTAATAAAATAGATAGTGCTTTTTCAGTAAATAATATGTTATTTCATTAATGTATTTATTCCTTCAGATTTTTAGCATTTAGACATTTAATTGCTTAAAAATTCAACAAGCAGTTTTAAATCTTATTAATTTAGTATTATTCTCATTAAAAAATATTCACAAGAAATTGCCAAAGCAGGAAATATGTTAGGAGTCAACGGACGAAATGTGTTCAGTACACTTTCCCAGGATGAGAAAAAAGCATGGTATTAAGCTCTAGCTGTTTCCAAGAATAAATAGACAGAAAGTCTTGACTTGTCCTTTTTCACAATTCAAAAGGATCCTTTTATTTTGTGCAAGAAATTGCAGAGCATACATGTAAGCAGCCATAACTACGTGAATTGGATTATCTACACGAATGACAGCATTGATGTGTATTACTGCCTTTCTTATGGCTGGTACACACGTAGTTTGAATGTGTTCCGATGTCTCCACCGTTACATGGTACCTCGCATATGGACACCATGAGGAGTTGTGAGACTCAGTCAGGAGTGAGAAAATGGGCTGATAATATTGCTGATCATGTAGCGGTATTTCGAAATTGATAGCCATTCAATACAGTGTGAAAGAGAATCATTAAAAGTTACGGTAATAGAGTCTAAGAGACAATGCTAAATTAAATTTTTGATTGTAGGCTTTCGTATGTTAAATGTTTAATTTACAATCATTATGTAGATGTAAGGGCATATTGGAATGATATAAACCAAATCTTACTTAGAGTTGTTTTATGTCACATAAATTATGAATACATGTAAATAAATGTTTTATGCCCTCGAATGATGGTATATTAAAATCGAACCGTCCGTCTGTCAGTCTGTCATTCCGTCAGTCATTCAGGCTTTATACATATAGACAGTGGTGGTCATGTCCGCTCTGATTCAGTATGCATGAAAGGATTTTAATTTTTCTTTCATATATGAAATAACCATAGATGTATGGTGTGTTGCGAACAAGACTGGTTTCTATGACTTAGGTCCTGGTAATTGTGGGGGTTCAAACTTTGTTAATTTTGATATTAATATACATATAGAAAGAGATGGTCGTGTCTGCTCTGAAAATAATATGCATGAAAGGATTATATTTTTTATTTCACATATGAAATTATCATAAATGTATGATGTGTTGCCCTTAAGACCCGTGTTCCTACGCCTTAGTTTAGGGTCACTGCTGGGGTTTAAACTTTTTCAATATTTATGTTATATACATATAAATGGTGGTTGTTGTGTCCGCTCTGTAACTTCCATATACATGAAAGTTTCAATTTTTATTTAAAAATATAAAGTCACCATTGATGGATAATGTGTTGTGAACAAGACCTAGGTTTCTTTGTATAACTTATAGTTCACTACTGGGGTTCAAACTTTGTCATTTTTTACCACCACACTTAACATGTAATGGTTGGTTTAGAACTAGAATCCTTCGGGGGCATTTGTCACGTTCTGTAACAGTTCTTGTTTTTTCTCAGTTCTCATATCGTCATGGATCATTACATTACAATTGTAATAAAAATGTCTGATTTCCATAATTATAAATAACACAAATCATTTTCTGGATTTGGCTGTATCATAATTCATAAAAGAAAATAGTATCGAATTTTCAGTTCAGTATCAAATATTACGTATACTCCGAAAGAGCATACAGTGAAACATTATTTCTACTTGACAAAAAAATTCTAACATACTTTTATATGTATAAATTTACTTAATTTAGGCAGACTTTTACACTATACATTTGAATAAGTCAACAACTCCTAGTATTTAC